GCAACCCTCGTGCTTTCTTTGGTTAGCATGAAAGGTAGTTTGGACGGTTGGATTACTTACACTGATGTTAAAACTTCGTGCAATTTGCATTTAAACGGCGTAGATAGAGGTCACATCTACCTACTGTCCGACTGCCAATAAATATTCTGTTCTTCCCATCATTTGAAAAGTTAACGCCAAGTAAACAGGGCTTATTAAGACAGAATATCTTCACCAGGACATTTATTTCCTTTGACACCTGACATTAATTAGGATTTCAAAGCAAGCAACGAGAGGAATGGGCCGAGATGGTTCAGTGGTTAGAGCGCGAGTTCACTGACCGGAATGTCCTTTGTTTGAACTTGACCTCTGTCTCTCGGCCTCCCCTGTCTATGCTGGGCAACCTGACAGTATCCCAGCCACCATGCTTCCTTTGGGTTGTATGACAGCTAGGCACTGAAAGGGTGTTACAGCTGAACGATCTCGAGCGGGAAGAGTTATCGGCGATAAAAGGTAATGCTTAGTGCAGTTCGGTATATGTCATAAAAGCTGATTTCCAGAACCCTCTTCACTAAGCTTCCACGTCGCAGCATGTGAAGAGGAAGTCAGTGACTCTATAGCACTTCTAGCTCTAACCAATCTTTTAAACGTAGCACTTACAGAGAATGTAGGCGGTCAGGTAAACTGGCCAGCTTGGCCCCGTTGAAGTATACAAACTGACCGTGGAATAAACGTTGCTCAAAGCGCACACAGAATCATTACATTGGAATGTCTTGCCAAGGTATGAGAACTACTGACGACGATTTTGGAACAGACACAAAGTTCTTCGCGTTGCACTTGGATACAAGATAGACAAGAATTTTTAACTAGCAAGCCAGCTACTATATCTAAGATATCAAAGCCCTTCTAAAATAGACAATGAAAATGGCAACAATCGGCACCAATCGGTGTGAATAAAGCGGACATACATTGCTGCAAAACTCTGTTTTCTCAACCGGCCGCGGAATCCCTAAATTCGACGGTGACTGACCTACTGAGATCAGATTTCCTTGTAACTAGGGCGTGGGTTACACTGGCAAAGCGATAGAAGACCCACCGCTGGAATGAGAAACCAGTCTCTCCCGGTCGAACAAACACAGACTTCTGTGGCAAACTCTCGCTCGCCACAGATCATCGAGTAAGCACCAACCCAGCAGGTACCATGTTTTTTGGTGAACATCACGCATTCTGAGGTTTACCAAGGCCGTTGCAGGAATCAGTCAGAGTCTTTTTGTGGGTTCAGAAACACTTTGCTATAACTCGATAAAAATGATATCTCTGACTTGGACTCAGTTGAGTATCAGGTCAATTTTTATCTGGAAGGCTGAGCTGTCCAATCAGTAGTCACGTGATAGACTTTGTTTTGTAAATTGCTGCATTACCTGTTTCTTCTGCTTATTGACAGTGGGACTCAGAAGACTAGACAAAATGTTTGAATCCTCCAATCTCATTGCACTCATTTTATTGTTTATACGCGGTTTATCAATAGTTCCGGCGTATTTTAAATGCGTCCGTTGGATTGAAGCAACCAGCCACCTTTAGGATTTTCTGACCTTACACATCCAATCCGCTTCGGTGTCAACATTGAGATTCCATCAAAAAAATTTTCCCCTTTCTCATGGCGCAGATATTACCGTGGACGTAAGCCGTAAGTACGAAGTTCAATTTCAGATTTCTATTTCTATTTCCTAGAGCAAGTAATTCGTGATATTTAAACATACCTACTGTTGCATGATGAGAATTAGACCTTCGCTTGAGACAATCTCATTTATAGGCCACGTCTCCCAACAGTCAATTTGTCTGCGGCCTCACGCAGTAAAAATACCTACACAGTGTGATGTGGAGTGATGCACTTATTTACAACCTGGCTGGATATTCACGAGACATAAATAAATACCTGTCCTGGAATGAAGCGGTCAAACAGGACGGTGCAAGAATTGCATACAGGCAATCTACTGTTACAGGCTATACGTTCCTCAAAACCAGGACAATACTGGTCACCCTGAGGTTTACACAGCCTATTCTTCCGCATGCGTGGAAATCAGTTATTAACCTCATTCTCAACGGTACAAGGAAATCGCTCATTTTCAGGCATGGTCGAGTCAATGTGGGATAAGATACTACATTTTGACATTTGCAAATTTTCATGATAAGTAACGTTGCATGAAGGAAAGAGTATGTATTCTAGGGTTGCACAACTTTTCACCAATCAGACACGAGTTCTGTCTACGTTTCTGCTTGCGACCAAGCTCCTTCGAACATTAACTATCCCACAGTGCAGTTTACCTCCATTTTTTCGTAGAATACATCCTGATTCGATTGCTTTGCTCGTTCTTTGGCTTTCAGTCTAGTCAACTGTAGTATCTCCCTCAGCTTAGTTCTCGGTCTGAGCCTGCCTAGCTAACGTTCACGTCAAAACACCCACCGAAGGTACACACGGTATATTAAGGACAAAAACGAAGTCAATACCACTTTTACAGTACTTCATATATATAAATATATCATGTATATATGTATATGTAAATAGCGTAGGCGATAACAACTTTCTGGAAACTCTGACACGCTCTGGATGCGCCATTGGCAACCGGCATTCGGCCAATACTGGGTCGTGATTGGTTCTTGGGTTAAGACTCTCGGCCAGTCAGATCTCCACTTGATGCCGGACCGTCAAGAGTCTCAACTTTTTGGCCAGTCTTGCGTGGAATAGGGTCTCGGCCGTAGTAGCACCTGATTGCAAGCGGTAAAACGCGATCCGTGTGGAATCCTGTTTAGCATCAACGTTGCTCCAATTCTTGACCGACAATGGTTAGCTGCATACAATTTCCACGTCAACCGTTCATGTAGTTGTCTCAAACGGACTAGTTTTATCATCCCTCTGATCCATTCGCTGTTCTGCAAAATAACAGATATTTATGGCACTGGGTACTGTGAAGTTCTGCCGAAACCGAATTCCAGGAATTGCTGTCTCTTGGTGAAAGGCCTACAGTACAATTATGACTGCAAACTGAATGAACTGTAGCTTTACATATTACAGTACCTGTCCGGTGGATGCTGTGGATCGATACTCACGACAAGTTGTTCTCAGACTGTCACTGTAACGGCCCCGTTTGCCTGTAATTCTACCAGCCAACATTTTCAACTTGGACAGCCGGAATTCAATAGACTGAGGGACGGGAATTGTGTTTCACAGTCAGACGACTCGAAAAAAAACATATCATTGAGAGCAGCATGCCAGGAGAGGACGAGGCTCAGGTACAATTAGCTGGAACTCTTGGTAAATAAGCGCAACATGCTGCCAGCTAACATACAACTAACAAGAAAGGTGGCATAAAGACTGGCTAGACAAGAGCGCACGAATGGGCCAATCCGAATAAAGGAACAGAACTACCGAAATCTAGGTAAACAATGAACCTACCAGATACAACATAATCAACGCAAATCCCTAAATGACCAATCAAATCAGGTAGCACGCAGCCTCTAACAACCAGTCACATTGCGGAGATTAACTACTGTATAGAAATTACATAAAAGCCAGTGTAGGAGAAAGAACCACAACCTCGGAAATCGTCTAATACAAATTTCGCGCGATCTGAATTCGAAAGTTGAAAAGCAAGCTACGACTTGTCAAACGCAATAAACACGTTTTGTGAACAACAGGTTGAATGGTAGACTGAAAGCTTAACGGAATGGACACCGCAGAGTCTAGTGTCACCAGTCATTATTTGTATTCTAAGATTTCCCCTCGAGGTCCGTCATGAGTATGCAGATTCTAATCTGAGTCAGTGCCATGGGAGCTAAGCGGAAATGATGGCATATTAGCTCGATGTATAGGACGTACGATTTTGTACGAGTAAAGACTACCCAGGAACACGGATGCCCCCAGAGTGATTAGGTGTAATGATAAATCAGAAGACTGCAATCGACAAAATGGTACCGCATTTTTGAGCTTACATTCTCCCCAAATGGCGAGCAATGAAGATCCATGAATAGCTCAGAGAAAGAATAAAACCCATGAGATGACTGAAACTTCCCTCAAAAAAATGGTTGATTGAGATGCTAGTCAACAGAGCTGACAGGTGGGCACCTTGCTTGGAGATGAGTGACGCAACGTGCTTGCTACGAACGAGTTAATCAAGATTCTGCTCAGCGGCACATGACGTAACGGTTAAGAGTTCAAACTTGTAGCCTTGAGGTCGCGGGTTCGAGTCTCTCCAAGGTCCCGTGAGAAGCGCACTACTGATTACTCCGAATAAGTGTGAAACAGCTGTGCAGCGCTTCACGGATTTTCAGTATATTCACTAAAATGCTCCGTGAACATCATCAGATCTTTGTGGTTTACTTGCGCAGTCCAGAGTTTTGACCTTCACATCAACTGTGTCATCCTGAACTGATCCTAATTCGCTGCTACTGAAGAGGACCACTCAAATTCACTAGTCAAAGGGGACCAACAGTTAAACCTTGCTGTGATCTTGATGATTTTTGCAGTTTCCAGGAAAAGATATTGCCAACCCCAGCTCAAACTACCCTACAGATCGAATGCTTAAATGTGAAATGCGGCCTGACCGTACTGCGTGTGCGCTACTCGCTGCCACAACTGCACAGAAGCAATTTAGGATTGCGTTCGAATCACTATGTTGCTAATGTCATCGTACTTGTTCTAGAGGGAACAACGTGAGTTTTCAGTTACAAAGCACAGTGCTCTGCAGAGTTGAGTTCAGTGTTTAATTTTCCGGTTTCAAACAACGCCTTGCACATCCATAAAAATTATGAACGACAATCGTATTGTCTCTAGCATTGAGACATTAGCTGAGGCAGGACGTTTGTTTGTTACAACCGACTATTCTGTAGCTGTACGTATTCACTGTGTATTGCACCGAAACAGTCTCCTTTGGTGTGAACATTCTTTTCCTTGATCTGACAGCCGAAGTTCCTAAGGATTCGGAATTTTTGGACGAACACAATTTCTACCGTCAAAGGCTACGCGAAGGAACAGATCCCGAGGGATATCATGTCCCCGGATTGGCCGATTTGGTGAGTGATCGTCGTTCGGGTTATCTGATTAGCCTTCATTAGGAAAGATGCTGCGAGTTTTGCAACCGAAACCAAATTTCAGCGCTCCCCCATCGATTTTAGAGTCCCACATCATTGATTGCAGAGTCCATGTGGTAAAGTTCCTAAAGCCCGTTTCTCTCCTCGTAATAGTCACGAAAGACCACTTCCATCAGCAACTACAACGGCCCATCAAAGATACAAGCCCACATGCGATCTGGGTAATCTATGGACAATGTTTCACTTAAACGCACTTTCTTAGGCGCGAAGCTAAACGCGACTTCGACTAGGCTTAAACATCAACCTTCTACACTTCCAACACCCCTCACCTACCTATTTGATCGTCCGAAGTTCCAACACTAAGGCACATTTATCTGGCCGCTTCAAGGATTAATGGTCGTCGTTGATGACATAGCGAACTCAGGTGTCTACAACGTGATTTGTTTGAGCAGCAGTGACACGGCCTTGATGGTCTGCTGGAGCGCTTCTTCGCGCACAGGCCATCGGCGGCTTAAGTGTGGGAAGCCGTGAGAATGCTGTCAACAAATATTACACTAAAATCTGACTCTACGATCTGACGAACCACATCATTTTGTGTCCATAAGATTGGTTCAACCACAAAAGTAATTCTTAGGATCCGATTAGGATGTTGTCTTGAGAAGAGGATCATCCAGTGTTAGTGAAATACACTCACTTGCAAACAAACTTGGTTTTGCGAGAGATCCACCTGGAACCCCACTGAATCTTTCGTTTGTGATGTTTCCAGGCAACTGAAATGGTTGGAAACTACCAGCAGTATATCACCGTGCATGCACTGGTTCGAGATTTGTTAGAATTCGTTGCTGATGTTCATAATCTTTTTACTTGATGTACCGCATCAGGTAGGTGCTCTAAGGTCGGCAATAAACTCAAGTAGACTCTTTGTTCTGTATCCACTTCTAAACAAAGGTTGCCATGGTTCTATAGTTGAGTTGACACGTCTCTCTCCGGTCTCATACACGAAGGCCTGAATACCCGACGAAATGAGAGCAGACCTTAAACTAGCTGTAAGTGATTATGAGCGATTTGTAGGGATTTTTGAGTAACGTTCTTTCTGTCTCGACAGCCACGCTATGGATATTTGCCACCAGATGCGGATAGAAGAGGGGCTATTGAAATGAATAGAAACAGCACGCTTTTCAAGATTTGTGAGCTTTTCAATTCATGGCGAGAACAACGCTCATCAAACGCCAAGGAACTAATTTTATTCGCTTCCCGTTTTTTCGAAATCGAACTAACGACTCTCAAACTACAACAAGACCCCGTAGACGGAATACACTGTTGTGCCTAAATGCTGATAGGTCGTGTGCGTTTACTGGTGTTTGATCGGATGGCCGTTGTTCGGTTCGCCAAGCTTGGCATTTAACTTGCGAACATTTCTTTCCCGGTCGAGAAAACCTCAACATTGTCAGTGGGATCAACCACCGCTATTCACTAAAAACCATCCTTTTTGCATGCATGGACGGGAACCCTGGTGCGAATGAAGCCTAGGTATGTGTGGAAGGAGCGCTGTGATAGCCTTGAAAGATTGTTAGGCCATCTGAGCATGGTATCTCCTAACCACTTTTATGCGGAATATGTAAGTGATTTAGCTCTCTGAAGATGACGATGGTGCTGCACAAACTGACACAAACAGATATTATCATCCAAGTCGCAGCCAACTTGACGAGCAGACAAACAGAAATTCCCGGGACAAAGAACTCAGGCTTATTCCAGCAACGTTATTCCCACCTGTTGTGGTTGGCTGGTATTCATGTCTGGTATTCAAAACGGGACAACGGAAATCTTATGGAACGGATAAGTGTCCTAAACGGGCTGTCCACAGCATACTTGGATTGTGACGCCATACCAAACAGTGTCCAGTTGCTACTTCAACACATTGTGTTTTATCCACCAAAAACCAAAATGAAACTTTCGAATGTAATTCGGAACCCATACAGTTGTCTTGTTTGTTGCTCGGGCCCGAACCTTTTCCTTACGACCGCAGAATCAAAGCTCCATATTCACCAGACAACGGTTTCTGCGAATCAACAGTATAACACGAATAGTCGGCACTAATCATTTACGTACGGCGTTGTCCTAGCTTAGACACAAATGACAGTTCTGATGCAGTCCCGTGAATGTGTGGGCGCTTCATACACAGATCAAGTAAGGTGGCGTCAATCTCGCTTAGTTACCATTGCTTTCTTACCGGATGTCCCGGTTGATAGCTCTAGGTTGTGCACAAAAAACACTTCAGAAAGTTAATACGAATGATGGATGGGGAAGGGCTACGGGCGACCTTTCTCAGCCAAGTCAAACCTTACACTTCAATCCATTCTCCAATGTTATTAACCCCGTATTTTTCCGACCGTTTTCTCTCTGGCTTACTTCTCCTGAAGACGTTGACCCATTTACTACCCCACAACCTGGCTTGAAAATTGGAAAGTGGCAACACTGGTGTCTTCCTCATACAGGTTCCTTCCGGTTTGACCAACAGCCATCTGGTTCCTGTGGTTCGTGACAGACTAGAGAATAAAACCCTTGCCAAAGCTCCTCAGCACAAGGACTCAATCAAAAAGAAGTGTTTGCTCTGTTCATTTGGAATTTTTGATGGTACCAGCTCAAAGTTTCACCCAATTTTGGACCTCTTCCTCTAACCAAATGACTGCTCCCGTCACCATGCTAATCGGTGTTTAGTACATCCAACTAGAAAATGAACACGCCTCATTAATAGCTGTGTCACTAGGTTGTCTAGCAGAACGGGTTTGGACAACGGTGAGCCCATATCATGCGATATTTTCTACAACTGACCTGAGAGATAAAATCGCCGATTATGAGCTTCCTCTGTGGCCTAAATTATACGAATAGTGCCGGCGTTCACCGAACTGGCAGGGACTAAACACTTATTGGGCATCCAATAGAAAATTTCTTGGAGATGGAGGATGAATAAAATTACCTCTCCGAATTCTGAGATCACTTGGGTCCTCTTACTCAACAGACAAGGTGAGCAGTGTCTGTCAACCAAGAGATTACGTTTGCGTATCGGTGGTGTCCAACATCTGTTTAGCATTATCGTAAAGTTGGAACATTCAAAGTCGGTGAGATGAGACAATCTGTGATAAACATAACCGGGTGCTCCCGAGACTTTCTGTCATGGTGAAAACTGCAACCAGACCGGTTGAAGGACATTTAACATTTACTTCTTTCTCGAAGGCAGGCAGGGACGCGCATGGCTCTGGGAGGAACATGGTCTTCAAAACAACGGTACACTACTCGAACAGTTCGAATTTTGTTCACAATAGATTTTTTAGCCAATCGCGCACCCAGAAGATTTCAAACCAGAACGCAACTTAAGTTATTAGTGTGTGAAAACCGGCATTTTGCCATTTTGCTGGACAATGTTGGTCGAGCCTACCAGATTTGTTTTCGTCCTTGTTTTGAAGATTTGGGACAGAGAGCTTGCTGCTGAATGTCGAAGGTGGGCGGAGACCTGCGTTTATCAGTACGCCCAAAACATCAACGCTGAAGAAAACTTGGCTTCCACAACGAACGTGATTGGCGAGTAAGTTCATTTTAATCAACCCCAACCTGCTTACTACGAACACCACGGTTTTACTCCTACATCTTACCAGGGTCACTTCAAGGATCGCCAGATCCAGAAGTGAATGGAAATCGCGTGAATCTAGTTGTAAAACGCTGTTCCACACTCGCTGAAATATGTTACCCTTGGGATAGTTAACCTACCAAAGCCGAGAACCTTTTGGCTCAATCAGGCTTCAGATGAACTTTTTGCCCTTGCAAGAGGTCCAAAATCAGGCCAGTCGTTAAAGGTGATCTATTTGAGTGCAAGCGATGTTACAGTGTTCCACTACACCTTCACTACTGGGAACGTGCTGCTTTAAAGTGCTCGATGTAACGATAAATTGCCTCATGAAAAGTTTGTTCTGTTGTCCAACTGTTGCGAAAGCTGACCCCGGTGACCACAGATTTTATTTTTCCACTCTTTCAAGCTCTGCTTCTTGTGTACTCTTTTCGACCTTGAACTCAGTGGTTCACTTTTTGAATTTCCGACACAATGGGGAGGTTCATTCCTCAGATTTGGGTGGGTATCCTGATAGTTTATCATTGAGTATGTTGTATTATACCTTTAAATAAACCCCATTTTTGTCAACATCTCTCTCGAGGCTTTGTGCAGCCCTCAAATGGAAACCTTAGTAATGAAAACATTTCCGCAACTAAGGTCATGACGAGTTTTATTGACTAATAGCGTTGTTGTGAGATGTAGTAACGTGGATAGTAAAGAGGCACCGGATAGCCAATCGAACGAGTTTCCCCGGGTCACTTAAACTGACTCACATGTGACAAATCACACGTTTTAACAATTCACATCCGCTTGTTTATTTCAAAGCCCGGTTCAACTGTGGTATGCGTATCGAAACAAAACTGGACATTATCGCAAGGTAGGTAACTGTGTTTTTCTTGTTCACGTTCGCAATTTAATAAGTAACTTCGTTCACTCATTCATTTTGGTATAAGTTACTGCGGCAAAAAGGGCCACTTAGTTTTGAAAGATCTGTTGGTTTTCAAGCGTGCGGAGGCCGCCGAAGGCCGAAAGCCACATCGGTACTCGGTCCAATCCGGTCCAACCTGTGTCCATTTCATGACATGTTTCATACCACTAAATACCATCGTATTCAGATCCAAACGCTTGATATCGGACACACAAAACACAAAATTTGCTACTCCTTACTTCTTCAGATGGTGTCACCCACAGCAGTGTATCTGGGGTGTCACATGACGCGTTGCGCCGTTCTCCAACTCGTGCAAGCCGGTGTCAATCAAACGAACGCATATTACACCGTGTGTCGCTACTCAACAGTGAGTTTTTCTTATCGCTATAAGCGACACCAGAACCACAGAGCAGTAATTTTTTAAACAAAGAATTCTAAGCCCAATGAGATGGAAATTGAAATGCAAAATTTCCTCCAGAAATTGTGTTACGGGATTAATACAGCGTTCCGAGCATTAAACAGCTAGAACCTTCATCAGTCTGTCTCTTTGTATTGGACCATTTTTAGTCAATATTCAGCCAATCCTAACATTTCTGAAATGACATCTGAAGACCGAGTTCCGACAGTTTTGGCAACAGAGGTTGGTGCAAATTTGTCGCAAGATCTCGAAATAGGCTGGCTGCAGTGACCGCCCACGGCACCGCGCCATCGCCTTTCCACCTAGAGGAACTGTCGTATGGGGTACCCCTGCCTCGAAAATTAATTTCAGATTTTGTGTTTAATCGGCCCCCGAATTACATCTGCTGACCCATGCGGTTAGGGGGAACATAGAAGGCCCAGAACACGGCTGTATTTTCAGTCAAGCATAGGGACCACGTGCGCAGATGTAGAGGATTACTGAACGGCTANACCCCTGCCTCGAAAATTAATTTCAGATTTTGTGTTTAATCGGCCCCCGAATTACATCTGCTGAACCATGCGGTTAGGGGGAACATAGAAGGCCCAGAACACGGCTGTATTTTCAGTCAAGCATAGGGACCACGTGCGCAGATGTAGAGGATTACTGAACGGCTAAATGTGGTCACTCGCTTATACGATCTTGTCTGGTCAGTGAAACATTTCTGTCTTGACAATTTCCACACTCGATTCACTGGTTGCATGTTGCCATGCCGTGTTTGGTAAGCCTCGCTTACGCACCTGCTATCCGGAACTTGTGGTACGGATGATGACCTCAGGAAGCACACGTACTTTTTGGTCTGGACTTGTCCTGACAAAAAGTTAGTGTTGCTTGGCCGCCCGATCTACTAAAACGCATTCTTGACCTCCGTACTCAAGTGAAGGACTTCCCAGTACAAAGCTCTTACATAGGGCCTTGTGACACTTAGTGGTAATCACACGCACTGGTCCTCTTGTCGGAGCCAACCCATTTGACGACAAACTCCAAAGTGAAATGGCTAATTCATTCACAGCGATTGGTTCGAAATATCCCCATCGGCGAGGCAAAACCACTCGCGTTAGATAATAAACCTTTCTTTTGATTTACCCTATCGTCTGTCGCAAACCTAGAGATAAGACTAGGTCGGTCAACCTATAAAACAGTTTCCAGACGAAATACTGGAGTGAAATATGTATGATCTAAGTGAAACTTCATTACTCAGTTCGGCCGACCCGACAGTTGCAGCCTCACCATTTTGAACTCCTCATCCTCCCTGCCAGTCGTTTAAACAAAACCTTTGGGCCGCGATCGGGTAGTTAGTGGTGTGACTGACTTGCGCTCGGGCAGGATATATCGCCGCCCATCCTCCAATCACGGAATTCATATCATGTGGTCACAAATTGAGTGGCTTTCTTGATTGGCCCCTTTATCAGTTGGAAGTTTCACTCGTGAAGTATCGTGAAGTTGTTTTTTCTCTGTTTCACTCGTTCGTAATTCTACTAGAAAACTCTGGCTGCTACTAGTAATTTAAGTAGGTTAATCCTTTTTCATTCTGCCACTCGTGGTCTCTGCAATTGTAGTTGACCTATCGCGAGTCGCTTTATAAGCAAATGTTGGGGTGTAGGCTAAATGTAGATTCTTTTAACGGACTATATCAGTAAAATTTTTCCCTGCAGATAAAAACTATGCCAACGGAATAAATGTGACTTTTGGATCCGCCAGTAAACGCACGCAGTTTTATTCTTGCCGAACACGGTATGAACGAACTCACGCTACAGTATGTTTGCTTAAAATGTGCCTCAGTTTTGCGTCTCTATTTTTTGAACTTTGCATCGCAGCCGCGTAATGGCAAAAGAACTGTATTGTCAGACCTACACTTCTCTTGATTTTTCTAATGTTTAGCTGGGAATGAGCCGAATTATTTTATTCCAAATTGTTTTTTGTGCCTCACTAGTTTGTCGACATACAAAGAAGCATTAGAACAACTGAACTTGTGCCGTTTAAAGTACATGGGTCAAGTGTAGATATTCGTCAGTATTTGACTGACATATCGAGAATGAAATGTCGACACAGATCCTCAGTATTTTAAGTGGTCGTTAGTTTTTTTCCGGCACGTTACCGTAAACTTTAGGTGAGTTTGGCAAAAAACACAATCTCACAGGGTTTTCGTCAGTAACATAGAAGAAAAGCTGTGCTTTTGGGCAGCAGTTGATCACCTAATCTCCCAGCATTCGCTGGCAACTAAGACAAAGTCTCTCAATCGTAAGTAATTTAGACAGTGTTGGTCTCATTGTTTCTCCCTCCTCCACGCTCGTGGTGTTTTAAGTTATGAGGTTTCTCTCGTGGCAACGCCCCACTGGGTCCAACAAGTAAAAGTCTGTTAATTGCCACAACTTCGAATGAATGCAGTATCGGATTGATCTCCTGAATGGTTGGTAAATATACGGCAGAGCGCTTGCCCGATGGACCTACCAGTTATAAGCATGGCTTTGTTTTTGGACATTTGTAGAAAAAAAGCGGTGGCTCTGAAGGTCTGTTTTGTCGAACCATCTTGAATAGGGGTTGGGAAAGGGCACTGTGTTGTTCATACTCATGCGTATAAGTGTTGAGCGCTTGAAGCTCGTGCTCTTGGGTTAGTCCATGCACACTTCATACTATCTGGGTTCCTCGTCCCTCCACATGCTTCATCTTCTATTCCTCCCGAACACCCATGGAGTTACAAGCCACCTTGTTCTCCGTAGCGTAGTGTGAGTGCATTTTAGAGTTTTCTTGAATCTTCCTGAGTCCTCGCATCAGTCTTACTTTCAAGGCGATGGCTCCCACTCGCGCGCGTCCAGCCCACCAAAATAAGATCGGATTTTCTAGAATTAATTGGCAGTTTCTATTCCGTGAACCAGCTGGCCAGCCTACCGGGATCATTCTTAATTTTAGGCTTGTATTTAGTGGTTCATCTCTTCGCATAGCTTTACACCGTCCACATCAGCGGATCTGGTAACCAGTGTACACATGAACTCTGGGCTCCGTAAAAGCGTCTCGTTTTGTCCCAATGGTGACTTGTCCGTGTTCCAAAAGTGCAACATTGACTGCCTTTTTTCGTGTTCGTCGTCAAACAAGCGAATTCTTCCACAAATAAGGCGAGCGACCGATTTTGGTCTGTTAAATTGCACCTGGCACGGGGTGTGACCTACTCTGGTAAAGGTGTTACTGAAGTCAACAAACACCGTGTTTATTATCTCGCGAAGCTCTCTTATTTCACAAGTTTTATTATCTGTCAGCAGGTTTGTAACACACATTGCTGCGCTCACAAACCATCTTTCGCCGCATTAGACTTACCGGATTTATACAGGAACGCGCCCGATACTTATTTAATAATAATAATTTTTATTCCCTACTTGTGGCCGGCACACCGTCAGGCACGATCATACGTTCACAGTCAGAATAAAACATGAGTGTGGGGGTCGCGGGTACCGGATAGTGATCGAAAAGGAGGACAATGTCATAAAGAGTGGACAATATCTGATGAGGTAATAATAATAATAATGGGTTTATTTCCCAACTTGCAAGGAACAAACCGATTGAGGCAGGACTGGGTCGTTACAGTTCAAACATGACAGGCAACAACACAACGAGGAGGAATGTACCGCCAACAAGGCACGCTTATTGCATGAAACGTCATCGCAGTTGCGAGAACTGAAAAGAAACTGGGACGATGGGCATGGGATCCAACCAGTCCAAAGACGAGGCCGGCTGGCGTGGGCTAAAAGTGAGAGCCATTGCTGGTCATGAGTGACCTTGGGTGGTTGAGTAAATGACTAGAGTCGAAACGAGCAGAACTAGTGATGGAGATGGAATAAATCGGAGTTGAAGCAAATGGCAAGTTTTGCCTCGAAAATATGGTTTAATCTGAAACTGAGTAGACTAACTGGTACCACATTTTCAGGGAAGTCAGTGCAAAAGATGGGTTTGAATAGGAGATAGCGCTAGAGCACAGGGCCAAACAAACGCCGTATTTGGAGTTGAACTAGTGGAAGAGGCAAACCGAAATTGTGGCAGAAAACCAAGTCGTTCAAATCCGAACGAAGGTTTCATCGGGTTACAATTAAGTCGTCCCAGAGGCGGTTAGGGCCAAGTAGAAAACTTGCAATTACAGGCTCGGGTTGGAGAGAGCTTCCGGTCGAGATTCTGAAGAAAGTAGTTGTGGAAGTGTCACCACACTTCACTGACATACTTCGGTTTACGGACAGCCCGGTAACGGTCGGTGAGCGGATACGCGTTTCCGTGACAGCTGAATCTGGGTTAAACGAGGAGATTGACACAACTAGAGTTACGCTGATGCGTGAAATTCGGGAAATGATAAGATATTTACATTTTATATGTACACGATCGCTTCAGAGAACAAGAGGGAAGGACGTAGGTATTATGTCTGGATGATGGAGTGGACTTGGGTTGGTGCAACCCAACTTAGACTAGGGTGGCAACTCCCTGCATGTCGAAGTTAGCCATGAGCCTCGCACAGTGACTTCAGGCTACCCCATGCATATATATATATNCGAAAGTGCAGCTGTCATTCGCTTGTAGTTCTTGGTGTTGTGAGACGAGCGACAACCGGAACAAGTTCAGTCCAGCTACAGACAGGTAACAACGGAGCTTTTTTATTCTTTCTCTTGAATTAAAGATCAGGCTCAGAATCACCGGCAATGGGCAATGTGGTCCCAATAGCCACCGTCATCAGGTGGGCCGGTTAGTACCTGTGGAGAGCTATAAAACCGCGGACGATTGGAAACTGCTTGCTTGACCTAAAGCTCGAGTATCTGGAAACGTTTATTGTTTTTACTGGTAGATTACATATACATATGCCAGGGTGAATAGCTGCTTCAGCTTAGGTGGATGTAATCCCATCAACTCCGCCCTCTTAGTCATATAAGGTGTTCATAGAAAGCGGTTTACATTCGCCGGGTTTTTGTTCATCTTGTTTGAATATTTCCCTCCTGAAATTTCCGTTACTGATTCACCAATATCCACCTAGGCCTTGTTTTCAAGCGATGTGCTACACCTATTTTGGAAAAAAACTGACCGTACCATTCCTGGTCATTGGCAATAACTTCATCTGTTTGTACATCAGCTTTGAAATTTCGCTTCCACCTTTCCTTATGCTCTGATATATGCGTGGATTGTGGTTAGTGCACCTTCCGTCACTAATACAACTCTGTTTTCGTGAGCCGGCTCCCTCCTAACCGTCGTTTGCCTTCATCCTTTATCCTTTTCGGTATTGAGGTTTAGAGGCTGTTTGTAGCTGCGCCTTGACACGACTGAATGTGATGAGAAATGTAGAACAGCAGAATATTCTCTGTAGACCTCCGACACCATCATTGGGTCACTCTGGGGTTTCCCGTTTCTCTCCCTCAAGGCTAATTCGGATGGGTCATATCTCCGGCAATTTCTTATGCATGTAAACAGCATGTTTCTGTTTTTCCGGGCGATGCCTGAAATGGTCGCTCGTTTTTTATGTTCCGTTGGCAGTTTTCTGATTTACAGTGGTTCCAGCTTTTACAAAATTCCAGCTCATTTTCTGTATCTCCTGAAGACAACTTTTTGAAAAATAGCTGAGCTGTCTTTCTCAGGAGTAATAGTAACGATAATGTTTATTCCCAACTTGTGGGTGACATACCATTAGGCATGATCATAATGTCACAGTCAGAATGAGAGCATGATTGGCACAGGGGTTTGAAAATGAGACAGCGCCATAAGGGGTTGGCATTATCCGATTGGTCACCACTAAACCGGAACGGACAGGGATGCACAGTTGCTATGCGTCTTTAGAGAGAACATCGAGCAAGATCAGATCGTTAGAATTTGAAAGTGGCGGGAAAAAAAGCGAGAGATGGTAAAACGGGAGGCTTCCTGCCTGATATATGACAAGAAAGCAGTCGCGGTGGAAAATAAAGAGCCAGAGCAACAGATCTGGTGAAGCAGCAGAGTTGGAGTCATCGAGCCAGTCAACTTGAACTAATAATTGAAAGAAGCACTGAAGCCTCTTGGCCTTGGACTTTTGGGCTGATGGCCAAGGTCACAAGGAGCGTAAGTGTGGATGATGGAGCGCAGGGATCAGCAAAGTTGATAAGTGGTAGCAGTATTCTCATAATCATGATGTAGAGTGAAAATGTGGAGACCCATTGGTGTTACTGATATAGTAATGCCGGACGTAATGGTTCTTCGGAAGAGTGAGATGATGGCAACACACGAGCCGCAACACCAACTGCAAAGAAAGTTACTGAATTTTGCGGGAAGCACAGACACACAGAAATGGTTAGGTTTGAGCGAGAGGCTCGGTAGATTGGAATGAACATTTCATAAGGACAACTGGGGAGAGCTTGTTCATAGTTGCAATTAATGGAATGAGTGTGCGAGAGGGCGCGGTCGACAGAAAGGGGAAAATAGCTGTGGGTGTGCCATCAAACTGGGTATGGCAATGCCGTGCCATTTTTGGCCAAACAATTCGGTTGTTGGACAGACACGTGACGGACGTCACATTTAAGTTCATCGGGCCCGGATGTGTGATTGTTTGACCAGCGCGATTCTTTTCAGACTGGCCAAGGAAACAAGGTAGAACAAAGCCGACTTAGAATCGCAGGTTTTCCTCTCCGTTTGAAGATCCTGCGGATGTAGATCATCGGCCAGGTGGAGTGGATAGCAGCCAGACCGGGTATAGCCGAAGTTCAAAATATGCACTGATTCATACGGCCCATCCGACTGAATGCTTGTTCTTGGGGACGAACATCGCCTCGACGTCGTGACTTTTCTGGTCAGTGGCCTTATATAAGTACTATGCTGATCTCGGTTTAACTTGAGCAAGTGGAATGCGCATTCTCGAGACGTCTCTTTGGCAAAAGTTTTAAAACACGTTGGAGATTCGAGATTTCTGGCCCAGTAGCAAATGAAA